AATTTGACCTTTGACCTATCATAACTCGGTCAAAAATTAAGATATTGATCTGCGGTTTCCGCCAAAATTCTTAGTTTTTTATGCTCTTTCGAATGATGATCACAAGATAGGGGTTGCCATTTGAAATTAAAAAGTTGGGGGCCCCCCGCGCCCCCCCTGAGGGGGGACCAAAATTTTGACCCCCCTCCCAAAAGATGGTCCCCTTTGAGATAGGAACATTCCCAAAGTTTCATTACCCTAGCTTAATTCGTTCAAAAGTTAACAGGGGTGGGACGGACTTTTGGTACACCCTGTAAAATGGTATTTTATACTTATTTCTGGCTATTTAATACCCTATTAAATAAGCATTTAAAGAAGTATTTGTTGGATTTCTTGATAATCATTGCCCCGCACGAAAAATTTGGTTGCAGTGATACCTTTGGAATTATGCAAGTATTCATGGGTACTTTGAGCTGCCTTTTTGATGTAGCCTACTTCCAGATCCGAATTCCCCATAGTTTATGACTTATATCCATACAACCGAAGGGCGTATCTCCGCATTGCCGAAAAGGGGACGAGATGGAAGGGCGTATTTCTGCCTGCACACTGGAAGATGCTGGTGTATTTTGCAATATAGGAACTATTGTATCTGTCTCATCCACTAATACAACACTATGTGATTGGGTAAAGTAATGGCATATAATATTGGCACAGGAATTATGTTCCTTCTTAGCAAATGCAGCTTATATGTATGATTACTTTGCTTACGTTATGTAATGTTTACTCCATCAAATTATATAATCTGCTGCTGAACGGTAGTATCACTTTTGCTGTGCAGCCAAAATTCAATATCTTTCGACGGCTTGAGCCTTACGAAATAGCTGAGGTAGAGACTTCCTTAATAATGATTTAATAATGGGCCTTATTTATCACGTATCTATAACATTAAAATGACATCAGTATTTTCTTCTTGGTACATCGTCCACCTTACAATTCTCTGTGTTGTACAAAAAAAACTTATATCTATTTCGAGGAGAGGAACAAATCAGGTACCTCAATCTGCGCTCTGATGTCTAGCTCTGTCAGAGTTTCAACGTATTTCTCATTATTAAAGTCATCCATGAAACACTCGAAGAAATTCATCAAGGCTATGACTAAACTTGCATCTTGGGTGGGGAAGATTTCCTGAAAATGAAAAATACCATTTACAGGGTCAGTAATCCAGTAAACGAAGGCATATAGGATGCGCCTCCGGCCGAAAACGAACATACGGCTGGATTTAGGCCCAATCGATTCTTCATATGAAAAGGAGCTTTTAGCCAGAAGTCCCCATAAATCCCCTTTAGGAACTGCGCACAGTGGACCGATGAAAGTGAAAATTGGACATGTTTTCAAAAATTCATCACGAAGCGAGAAATGGACCTAGATAGTTCATTTTTTCTTGAACTGTAGATAATTGAGCCTACTTTACCAATAAACTGTGGTTTTGAATGTCAAAGTAATTTAAATGTGAGTAATATTGAAAGAAATTGAAAATTGAGGATTATTGATCGGCATTTTCTGTATTTACGTCTTTATGAATACCCGGATTGAAAAATACCTTCGTGTACATACAATTTAATTTTGGGCCCCGGCAATGTCCACCTCTCTGTCCTTGACCCTCTGGAGGTGATCGAGTAGCGGTAGACTCCACTGGCGGTGGGTGGGTTACGTACGGTTGCGACTAGGATTATTAGCAAATTCCCTTAATCCCGCTACTTTGAGGCCAGGAATATTACTGGACGTAAGTTACCTTTAGGGGTGAAAACAGTTTTGGACGGTTGCGACGGCCTGAAGGAGAGCTTCCTCTTGCAGTTTCCACTCTTGCCCTTTCCCCTGCTGGTTGCAAGGGGGTGGGGGTCCAAAGTGCGCGGGCGTGGTATAGTGTACCGGACCGGAGTCTTTCCCACCACGGGGGGATAGTCCTTTCCGACGAAGTCGCGTAGACCCGTATCTGGAAATCCCTGAGACGACTACCCCCGGACTTATGCGACTCGCTAAATCGCCCACCACAGCTACACCTGGCGCACAGACCAGGGACCTGCCCGGCGGCTTCGGAGTGTGACGGCGTTAACCGGACGGCGAGCCGCTCCCGAAACCCCTCGGCGACGAAGTCCGAGCCCAGGGCCGAGTTATAGTGGGGTTTGAACAAGTCGTGCGCGGTGGGGCCCCGGGCTAAGAGCCCCGGCTTGTCAGCGGTGCACCATGAGGCGTGTTCCGCCCGCCGACAGGCTCGCTCCGTGTGTCGGACTCGGGACTCTGTGAGCGGGCCGGTGCTGGTCGACCCGCTTCGATACTTGCGGTTTTTAAAACCCCGAGTCGTTTGCCCCGGCAAGACAGCGGCCCGCGTCACCGGGTCCGCCCGCCGCCGAGCACTCGTAAGTCAGAATAGCGCGCGCGTCTGAGGCGCGCGTCCGGCAGTCAGTTCCGATACATGCTCCCTTTGCGATCACTCTTCGGAGTTCGAGACTCCTGCGGGCTTGGCCCTGTCCCGGCCGGCGGTTGACGCCGCCGGCTGAGTGAGAGGTGTCGCCGGGTGGCCCGTCCTGCAAACCAGTCCTGACTCGACCCCCGGTCGGTTCACAGAGGGCTGCAATCCTTTGACTCGTGTCCAAACGACAGGACGGAGTCGGAACCGTTCTGCTTGAACCGTATTCGGGCCTTCAGCCTAGGAGTCCTAGGAGTCCTAGACCGTCGTGGCTCGACTCATCGAGCCACGGTCGCTGCTAAGGCCGGGCGAAACGCTAAGAGGGTCCTGCGTTCGGCCTGTTGCTCTGCAGCCCTAGGTTATCGAGCGGCCTGCAGGCTCGACAGCCGTGAGGGGGCCTGTTTTGGGCCACGGCTGCCCCCCGCTTCGGAGGTTCTGTTGGTACCCTTGAGCTGACCCCCGCGGACGGTATACCGACGAGATCCCTCTGTCCGCAAGGCGCTGGGTAAGTGGCAGGTTTTTCCGAGCCCTCACTCGTTGGAGCCACGTTTGGGGGGAGGGGAGGGTGTGAGTCGGAATTGCGCACTCCGACTCGCCGGTACGCCGCCCTGGTTGGCGGCAGCCCGCCCTGGCTGGCGGGCCGAAGCACGCGGCTTAGTGCGGGCCTCGGCGGCCGGCCCCTTCTGCCTGGTCCGCTTCAGCACTTAGAATTTGTTTCATCGGCAGAGCTTCTGCCAGGCCGATCGGGTTACCCCTAATCGGCGTCGGCTATATCCCGGCGCTCATTGAAGGGAGCGAGAAGGGCCGGGTCTACCCCTCGGCCGAGCATGCGCCCAACTCTGGAGAAAGGGCACAATGAGACGTCCGCGCCGGCAGCCTCCGATAGCGCGGCCCTCGCCTCATCGAAGTGTGGGCACGCCCGGACTCGGTGCTCGACGGTGTCTCGCTCCTCGGGGCAATCCCGGCACATTTCTCTTGCGCCGTCGCTCTGGCCGATCCGTGTCAGCTGATGGCCGAAGTTTCCATGTCCGGCCAGAACCGCCACGGTGTCGCGTTCCCACGTCCCTTTCGCCTTGAGTCGTACGTAGACACTTGGGAAGAAGGAGCGCGTGGTGGGTCCCTTCGTAGAACTACGCCATCTAGCGTTCCACTCACGAAGGGTCCGTTTTCGGAGAGCCGTCCGAAGTTGGCCGGCCGTCTCGTACTCCACATCGAACTCCTGCTCTCCGACTTGGACCACCTCGCCGTGGGCAAACTTCGTTTGCTCGGCTCGGTCTCTGACGAGTAGGTCCATCGGCGGAACTCCCGCTAGTACTTCTAAGGCGTCCGTGGACACGGTCTTCCATGCGGCCGTTGCCAAGATGAGGCCTTGCCGGCTAGCTCGTCTGACAGTTTCGACGGTCTGTTTGCAGGTCAGCCGGTGGGCCCAGACCTCAGCCGCGTACTCTATCATTGGCCGAACCGCTCCGAGATAGATTCTGCGGGCCGTGGGCCGCAGATCCGGTATCCGACCCATCAGAGTGCGGATGGCACCGGCTCGGGAGCCTGCTTTCTTGGCGACTTTGGCCGCGTGGCCCTGGAAATTCAGGTTTTCATCGAGCTCAACTCCTAGTATCCGGTGTGCGGGTTTGCGTCGAAGGAACTTTCCGCCGAGGCGGATCCTCACCTGGGTGCGGGGGCCGAGGGTTCGGCGTCCGTTCTTAGCTAACACCATGACCGCCGTTTTTGGAGCGGACGCTTCGAGCTTGCAGCGGTCGAGCCAGGACTGGAACGTGTCGAGGCAGGCTTGGGCCTTTTCCTCTAACCCGTCCCGTGTGTCCGCGCTCACTACGAATGTGCAATCGTCCGCATAACAAACTAGACTGCATCCGTCCGGGAGGGCCTGTCGGAGGAGGAGGTCCGGAAGTAGGTTCCACAGATAGGGTCCGAGAACGCTACCTTGGGGCGCGCCGAGGTCGGCCCGCTTTTCGACCACCACTCCGGCCTTCTCAACGAAGACGCGGCGGTCGGTCAGATACGACTTAATGAGCCGTAATACAGGCCTCGGCCACCCCGCTTCGGCCGCCAGCGCTCGAGCGTGACTATTATGGAGCAAGCCTGCGGGCGGGCGGGCGGGCGGCTCGCCTCGGCGGACCGCTGACTTGCCGGGGCTCACAGCCCGGAGCCTGAAACCGCGCCTTAAGTGAAACCCCAACCCAGACATGGCTTCGAGCTCGGACTCGTCTCCGAGGGGTTATCGGGGCTGCTCGCTGATCGATGGTTGCCGCTGTCGCTTCTCCGAAGCCGCCGGGTGGGTTCACGGTCGAACCCGGGTCGAGCCGATGGTGGCGGTTTAGCGCGCTGCGTAAGCCCTTGGGCGGGGATCTGTCGTTATGTGACAGCTATGATACGGGCTGCGTACGTGCTTTCGTCGGGTGAGATCGACCCCCCAATGCTGGGAACGGCAGAACCGAGGCCCGCCGCCATCACCCACTCATTTCCAAGGGGGTAGGGGTGCCCGTAATATAAGTTTTTCAGTACCGAGCTCTTCATCCCTGACTTCTCAGCTCATAATCCTCGGTAGTTTGCTTTATTCTGAGGCAGGCATCTGCTGGGAGTTATTCTGCCTTCAGGTTCAGGCGGGACCAGGGGACCTCTACGGAGGGTGAGTCTCGCTGCTTATGAGGGTAAGCGGTCTGAGAAATGAAGACCCGGAGAAGCGCAGGGATATTAGATCGCACTGACCCTGCTTCCTAGTATCTGGGCATGACGAACCCACGCTTGCTGAGTCTGCTACCGACTTCGTTGCCCAGTGACGCTTTTCTTGTCGTAACCGGTAGTTAGCCCAAGTTTTCTGAGGTGCCTGTTCAATTCGATAATTCAGACTAAGCGGTGCCGGTTATGACGCCGGACTTGATCCAGCTTGATCGGTGCGGGATTTCAGGGGAAAATCTTTAGGAAGCCGGTGGTAAGTGTGTCCTTCTGGTGCGGCGTTGTTTACCGCAGGCCCTAGGCATTCTTAGGTTGGAATAAGAGTCGGTGTACCCCTTGTATATCCTCGAAGACCCGATCCAATCTCTAGCCCCTCTGCCATATACGGGGCCCGAACGCTTATGCAAACTTGCAAGATTCTCGGAGGAGGACTTAAAGAATAGGTACCGGCTTCTGCTACAGGGAGTGTTTTTAGTGGAGTTGGGGAATCGAAAGTAGTCATCCCAGGCTCCCTGGTCTTCCGGGCTTTTGTGGGGCGGCCGTGCGACTGCTTGGTTCTCCGTGGCGGGGCGAGTATGTTTCTGACCCACGTCATCGATGAAAGGGTACCGAGCGGGCATTTGGGTCCAAGCGCTAAGGGAGAAGGACGAGGCAGAATCAGAAAGTTCCGGCCTGCGGGCTCCTTGTGTTCTAGTCGGTCTAGGGGTACCTGCGGATACTGTGCTGGCGTTGTTTGGGTCTCTGGGGCTGTTTGGCCCAAAAGAGTGTTTCCCCCTCCCATAGTACTCCATTCCGGGGGAGGGTCATTCTCAAGCGGATTCATGGACGGATAACACTTTCGAGGTATTACTTTCGGTTTGCAAGCGCCGACGACGATTTTGGGTCTATCCACAGACCCTCGCTCGCTACTATCCATCTCGAAAACATCCGTCTTATGATCATATTGTAAACAAACTATGTTTCAGTTATGATTCGCGACCCTTTAGGTGGTTCTGATTTCGTTGTAGCTGAAAAGTAGAGTTGTTCGATGTTTGAAAGTATTAAAAAACCAATTCAGGCATGTGTTACTTTGTTAATCATTCATTACCACGAGAGTCCGATGTTATTGAGATGGATAGTAGCGAGGGTTTGTGGATAGGCCCAAAATCGTCGTCGGCGCTTGCAAACCGAAAGTAAACAACCGTCAACTTAGCTGAGGACACCTCTGTGAATGAAGTTTTAGTTTTATGAATGAGTGGGGCATGCATGAAAATGACATGAACAACAGATGCATGAGCCGCTGAGCCAACTTACTTTGGCATCTCTATTTCGAAGCCAATATATCAAAAGACTGCTAAACCTCAGAATCAGATTTTTAACTATATTTTTGTGGTTTGCATTTAAAGCAACTGGTAAAGTGTGCAACCAGGACATTACGAGGCATTCCCAGCCCAAGTGACTTGGTTCTATGTACACAATGCCACATCTTGAGACCTGAACACAGAAAAGGAAGAAAATTAGGTTTTTCAATGACCTTCCCCCCCCCCCCCC